CGTCGTCAAGTTTTGTTGACGACGGGACAATGACCGTAAGTGCAGCAACAGTGGGATTGTCCCCATTGTTGAATTGCGCGCCCGGCTCGAAAACGGGTCGGCGCGATAGGGCGTCAGCGACGACATTCAGTCGTCCTAGTTTATACTTAACGAAAAAGTTGTACTTTTAAAAGAAAGACAGCCCTCGTTATTTGTTGTGAGATGTGGGGGCTGTTTACGGCCGTGCGTGGTGACAGATGGTTCTTATAGACAATGAACAGTCTATATCCCAAAAGATAGATACCAAATCTAGCCAGTGCGTACTTCGTGGCAAGACGTTCCTTGTCATGCACTGGGTAATTGCGTTTGGCTGCTTGCAGGTGACGCTATTGATAGCAGGCGACGAGTTCTGCGCCGTCTGTGCCGTATTGCATCAATGTACAGCCGATTGCAAAATCGGTGGCGTCACAGACCATATAAAATGGTCTGTCTCGATTTTCAATCACCAGTATTGGCGATTTCATCAAGCTTTGCGTGATACCCTCAAAGGAACGCTGGCACTCAGCGTTCCATGACCACTTCGAATTTATCTTGAGCAAGCAAGAAAGATGCACAGTCATCGCGGCGTAATTGCGCGAGTACTTGTGCAACTACGCCGCTAGCCCAAGAAACTTAAGAAGTCCCTAAACATCGACTGGAACAGGCCAGTCGTTGATCGCCTTGATCTTCTTGAAATCGGGGCGTACACCGTGTTTGCCCACGATGCACTCAAGAAGTGGTATTTCGCTAGCCGCGAATGTGAACTTCTTGAGGTTGGCGTACAACTTATGCTTGCGCATAAGTTGAAGAACCTGACGAACGTGAGTTCTATAAACTTCAACTTCTGTATTCCCGTCCATAGCCTGACTATGGAAGAACACATCGACAAAATAACTCGGTGCGAAATCCCACACCTGTCTCAAAATATTTGTAACACATCTGACGAATGTTTCAGGGGCGTTACTCAGACCCTGTGGCATCACTAGCCACTACCACAGCATACCGATATGTGTGCTCAATGATGTGTAAGAGATGTCTCGTTCACGCATGAGGATCTGATAGAATCCATCCATATGATCCATGGACGAGAAGATGGTACTCTTTGACATATCATCTATGATAACGTCCTTTCTCTGTATCGGCGTCTGAGCTGGTACCGTTGCAGCATTCAACTTGTTAAATGCGTGAGCAATCCGCCATCCTCCTGTGGCCTTTCGCACACAGAAGGCCGGTGAGCTGTGAGGGGAAGTTGATTCCCTCACATGGCCCGCTGCCAAGCGATCGGCAAACAAATTGTCGATCGCTAGTGCTTGTTCACGAGGCAGTGGCCACTGCTTCATGACACAGTACTTCGAGCCCGGATTGAGCTCGATCTCGTATCGAGTGCCTTTATCTTTAGGCAACTCGCAAGGTACGGATTCAGGGAACACATCCTTGAATTCGATCAAATCCTTATACAAAGGATTTGCTTGAAGTGACTCCCAGGATGGAGACGTGTATCGCTTTAACTTAGTCTTCTCATCGAGGACACTTTCGTCCATCAATGAGCTGCTCTGAAACCGTTCGTTCTCAGTAAAAACCGTTGCCGACCAAATATCGGCCACATACTGATCCTCTGTGACGAGTTTGCAGATCTGCTTGACTTTGCCACTACGCAGATCAAGCAAGAACCGTTTCAGTTCTAGCGTCTGCAACTGACTTATCTCCGAAGTTAACTTCGGAGGCACAATCAGATCAAGCGTATAAGCGCCTACGCTTGATACGTCATTGACCAAGACGTTCAACGTCTCGGTTTCTTCCTGGGAACTTGCTTCCACAGGTTGCTGAGAGCCTGATCCCTCAGCAAGTGACTCTGGAGGAATTCCTTCCTCAAGTACGTGGGGACTTATTCCCTCGACGTCTTCTGACTGTGGCTGTGCAACCACAGTCAGGCACCGATTCTCTACGGTCGACTCTCCAGTCGACCTAGTATTTCCATGTTGCCCTTTGGCGGCAACAGATTTCTTCTTTCTAGGATGTTGCCCGCTAGGCATACATCCACGTCCCGGTCCACTCGACTTATTCGAGTAATGGACCTTCGGCGCTGCCTGTACTTCTGTACAGCCGCCGGGAGCTTGCTCTACAGTATAGTGATCAGCTACACTGAGGTCTTGTGCAGTCGTGCTAACGACCGTACCGCAAGTGAGGCCATCGATCTCACTCGCAGTACATCCACACGCTTGTGGACGATCCATGACGTTCATCAGATTGCCATCCGATCAACAAGAGGCAGGCATCTTCACGGATCGATGCTGCCAGATCACCCTTGGCTCGTACCTTCTGGGCCAAGGTAATCCCAGGATGACATCAAATTTGTCTTCCAGATCCAGTACGATGAAGTCGTCATCGTACTGTTCGCCCTCTAACGTGTAGTGGATTCCTACTACACGTTTCTCAATGGTAATCGATGCGCCTGTTACAAGGCGCACCGTCATCTTTGTGAAGGGAATGTCGCGCTCAACGAACTTGAGCCTACGACCCTCTAGTGACTGGCGTCGAACAAAGTTGTTCGACGCCCCACAGTCTAATAGGGCACGAAGCGACAAATCATTTATCGTTTCCAACTTCAAGGTGATGAGCGAAACGTAATCACCAGGTGCAGAGACACACAACGATTGTGTATCTGGAGCAACTTTCGTCAAGAGATTTGCAAATTCTCTTGAGGTTGCTGGATCAGTAGGGCGCTCCGCCCCTACTGGCCCCGACCAATTTTTGATGACCCGTCTCGCTGTTGCGGCTTCGCAACAGCGCTGGACCCACGCCCATTGCCCTTTTTATTAAATGGTTGTTCATTTCGCTCAGTACTGTTTGGTACTGAGCGAGGGGCACTACACTCGTAAGCGTAGTGTCCTAGCTTCTGACAAAGATTGCACTTTTGCATTCGCTTGTTGTTTGAAGAGCGAGGTCTCTCGCTCTCAACATAGCAGAGGTCCATGGGTTCTGGACCTCCAGTCTCTTATCGCCTCGATAGACGATTAGAGCTCGAGCTAGCATGAGCCTGTCTCATGCTAAAGTCTTCCTGTTCCGCGGCTGATATCGCCTCTTCAAGCGTATTCAGCTCAAGGCGGAACAGGTGGCTCCTGACGGGCCCTTCCGCAAGCCCTTGCATGAACACCGTAATCAACGTGTGTTCGTGAACTGGGTTGGCAGTTATACTACTCGCTAGGAGTCGTATATGTTGTGCGTAAGCGTGCACATCACACTTACCCTGCTTGAGTTTCAGGAGCTCAGTATTAGCCCTGAACTCAGCTCGAGGCGGTTTAAACGTTTGTCTGAGCCGGGACTCGAAGTCATCTAGCGGCCTAAACACATGTGGGTCGCTACTCTCGAGCCCCAGGGCCCAAGTCTTGGCACGCCCGGTCAAGTGGGTTTGAGAAAATGTGAGTTTCATTCGCTCATCTTCGACGCGACGAGCCCCTAAGGCTCTGTCGAGTTCGACAAACCACAGTAACAGGGAGTCTTCCGGGACTCCACTGTATTTGTAGATGTCAACTTTCATGACTTCGGGACGACGCGCATGTGCCGTCCCGCCCACAGCAACATGGAATTGCTGTTGTCTCAACAGCTCTGTCTGTTGAGCACCGGGTTCTCACAACTGCTCGGCCTGTTGAGAGCCTTGCTGGTGAAGCAAGGCTAACTTTTCTCTTTCGGCGACAAGTTCATTTTGAATGAACATGGCTATAGCGGCATGTTGTTGGTCTCTGTCAAGGGACTCCAACATGGCGCTAATGGCGGTTTTTCCGACGGTAGAGATCATTCGTTTTACCTCCCTCCATTCGATGTCACTGAAATGGTTAAAGCCTTCACGCGCGGCGTTAAAGGGGTCTTCATCATCCAACATGTTCATGTTGGATGTTGTGGTCCTTGGAAGGACTACAAAGTGCTACCAGGTGTAACGGGGCACACCCTTGCGTGAACTTAACGAAAGGGTTTCGGTGCGCCCGACAGACGTACACGAGGCAAACGAGGAAGCGTAGATAGGTAAAAGCAGAACGGATATATTAGTATAATTAGGTCTTTTAACCACTGTCTCTCTGTTTGACTTAACTTAATTATACTTATCTAACTGAGTGTATGGTGACGTCTCGTCACCACTCATTGCGCGCGTCTTGCGGCGATTGGTGGGTTGATATCATCAAGATATCAACCAATGAACAGACTCTTTGGTCGACCCTTCAATATCACCACTTTAGTGATATTGTTAAAATAATATTCAACTTCATATTCTTTATTGTCATTATCTCTCAAATGACTATTTCCATGTAACGGGCTACCCCGTTACAGCGACAGGCTTCAAAAAGCGCAGAGAAGCTCAGTGAATTATGAGGTCGTCGCTCGATGAAACGGTATTGAGCTCCTTCGTGTTATTGATAACTCTGAACACAAAGGGGGGCCAAAGCTTATGGTGTCAGTCCAATCTGAAATCGTTCGTCTCAGCGTCTTCACACGATAGGAAGTGGCCACGCGAAGGTCCATGACGACTGTTCAGCGAGTGCAGTGCGTGGTCCGTCCGGTGTTCGCGTGACCGGCCGTATTGCATACCCTAATATCGACGAACAACCGTTTTGACAAGGGCTCTCATCTACAGCGTAGCTCAGCTGTGACAACTGGCATCGTACACTCACACGAGGCCGGACAGTCGTCATACACACATTTGTGTGCAAGTTGACACTAATTTACTTTCACTACAACAGTAACGAGCGCTTTCGCGACCCGAAGCTTTTTGCTGTACTTGCGGCTAATGATACCAAGGTCCACTCATTAAAAAAATAACTTCGCTGGACAAGCATGCTTGCACACCTGTACATTCTACAATAGTGACGCACGATTGCCTGCATCATGGTAAGGAAGTCGTTTCCTTGCAGAAGATGTAAATGTGCTATTGGGACGGCAGGTAGAGCAGCACGGAGGGATAGCGCGGTAAAAGGGTCAAATACGTGCATTTATTGGTACTTATTTTTCGCAAAAGCGTCTGGGTTACGACAGTAGCTCGTATAATCACGAAGAATTTTTCTCAAAAACCTGCCATCATCCACTTGGAATGGAGTAGGCTTCTTGAAGGCTGAAGATTCGGGCAGTAATGAGCATTGGCTCACGAACGCACTTCGAACGGCTCCAGGCGTGATTCTTCCCACTCTCCATGCCTCAAATTGCTCGTGTTCGATGACTGCCACACTCATGTGCATTTCCTTGGACCGCGAGAGCAATATTGCCACCTCCAACTCGCTCAGATACCTTCGAAGAGCATCCACCACCGAATTGTACGCGGAAGGCTGTATAGACCGAAGGCGAGCACGAAGTACAAAGTACACGCAGCCTTCGCTTGACAGGAGTTCCTCCGGCACTTCAACGTGACGGACATCGAACCGGTTCGCAGCCATTTCGTGATACAGTGGAGTGACTGACCACCTCCGTCCTATATAGTTGATGCTCATCGTCATTTTTTTCAAGATGTCCCATAAGTCTTCTTCTTCGTGTGGGTTGGGATGCCAGAAGTATAGGCTACGCAGATCGACGTTAATTAACAATAGCGATGCGATAAACCTAGAAGAAAAGAGCAACGATTCTAAAAGCATTCGTTCTTCCTGTCTTTCTAAATCAGGAAGAGGAACCCTCGCCACTTCCTTGGGAGCCTCGACCACGAGCTTCTCAGCGCCAGGTGCCGTGGCTTCCAGTTGCCTAGAATCCGATTCGGCATCCGCCATGACGAGCAGCACACCACTCATCAAGAGCGCAATGACGAAGATAGAGGACCGCATGGCGGATACCGTCAGAGTGTACGGATCGACTTGAAGGGGTTTCGGACAGGATACAAGCGGAAAACGAAGGCGCAAAACGAAAAGTGAGAATCATTGGGCGTCGGCGGTTCTGCCACATAAACCAGGAAACATCCACTGCCGCAGCCGCAAGAGAGGCGGAGTATTATCTGATGACGTCCAGACGTGTCGACGCGTGATCGGCGAGAACTGGGCATAGAACCAGTGTCTCCCAATGAATGTGCGACGTCGAGGGTGCAGGATGTCAGCGGGAAGATGTGCGGCCGCCTTACTGGCTGAGGGTTTGTATGCAAGCAAGGCGGTCTCGTCGTCACGGACAGCTGAGTTCTCTCAGCGGATACTGCTCGCACATCTCGCCATGCGACTTCTATGGCCAGTACGTTTGTGCCGTCTTGACTTGGTACCAGAAGGGTTGACATACCAGCTACAAGCCACTATGACCGATGGAAAGCGTCTCGCGCTTCCCAATTAGCGCCTTTGGGCAACAGGAAACAACCGAAGAATACCTCCACCGGGCCGCCGGCCCCTTCCCTTGGACAGGACGTCCCCTATAGCGGGGTCCAGGTTAAAGGGCGGAGGCCATCTATCCGCTGCGTGCGCTACGGGAGGCGGCGCAGCGTGCAAATCGAAAGGGAAGCAACAAGCGAGACAGCCCAGGGTGAGGGCTCGGCAACATCAGTTGTCTTTCCACCTAGTCCCTGCTATTCTACGTCAGCCTTCAAGTCGCCAGCCTGGTCGCATGGCATGATGCCCGGTCCCGCGAAGCGAACATGCCTAGAACGTTATTTGATCGGACCCGCCCGGGTGCGCCAGCGACCTATCGGAGTGGTGTCCGGCGTCTTCCGCGACTTCAGCGCCCTGCCTACATCCCAGTCTGGATGCTTGATTCCACGTGCCCTATGTGGAGTGTCCCCGTGACACCCACTGTCTCGATCCAGCAGACTCAGTGTGCGTGGAGGAGAATGACGAAGTCGAGAAGAAGCACACCGACATCGTATCGTCATAAGCACTCAATTGACGTTCAGGTCCTACTACTAGTACAAGCAGCAATCCTTGCTGCGTGTGGCTCTAGCACAACTCGTTGGAAGGTGAATGGACAATGCAGAAGGTAACGAACGTTATTCGTACTGTCCCAAATCACGTTCGTAGCAGCAGAGCGACCATGACACGATCGCGTATGAGCAGAAACTGAGGCGGAGTACCATCCGGTTGTACTGACGCAGCTGAAGCTATATACACTGACAAAATGCCAGCAAGTGCCTCGACTCCTCGCGTTCGCTGTTCGTGCAGAGGAAGTGTCAGCGCCAATCGGAACACGTTGGGACGTAAAGAAAAGTATAAATATGTTTACTATGATTTAGGTTTTTGCGACATCTCTGTTGATCTTGTCTTAACTAGATTAAACTACAAACGTCAATGTAGCTACTCGCTCACGCCCCATTGCACGCGTCGAGCAGCGAACGGTGTTGAATATAATGGCCCATATCAACGAAGAAATGGAGCGGGGCTGAGGATTATTATCGAAGGTAATACTCCATCACTATTTACTTGATTAGGTAATATTAGTAAATATTATCATTTAAGATAGTATCTTCATTTGCTTACTCAGGAATCAATTACATGTAATGGAACCTCCACGTTCCATCACCAGACTCAACCAATCTGTAACATTCGTGACTGATCGACAACCGAGTAAAGACAGAGTGATCACCGTTGGATCACTCCCGGAAAGAGATCACTTGTTGGCCAGACCAACCTATTTTTGGTTTCCATCGCATGGTTGTCACGCCCACGCGGTTTGCGGCAAATATGCAAAATACGCTACTGCACGCATGTGTGCTGCTGCCGAAAAGACAACGAAGAATAAGAAGCAATTGACCTATCAAGTGCTTCTTCTGCACCTGCTGGTTCGGCGGTGGCTGTGAGTTCCTAAAGTTAGGATGACCCCAAGTTAGAGGTCATGTATTCTGGCGAGTCGGATGTGTAACAGGGTGAGCCCGTTACATAAAATGATATCGTTGTATCAATTTTTATACATTATCTATTTAGATAACGTTCAATTGACATTACTCGTAAGGAGTAAGCTTGAAGGAATATTACCCCCGAGGGTAATGTTTCTTTGATGGCTTGCTTTACCTGATGGTTGATGATCACGGTACATCGACCAGAATAATCACCAATCGCTGCTGGACGCGCGCAATGGGTGGTGAGCAAGAAACCCACATAGTAGATTGTAGGTTAACATAGTTAGCTCAAGACAAAGATGGCATATTAAGGAACATAATTTTATTAAATACAGTTCTACTTTTTTCTTAGACAGAGCTTTCGAGTTCTGCCTACTTCGCTGCGCTTCCTCACGCCACGTGTACGTGACGTCGAATGCACACAAACTAGTGTTGAATTGACACAAGGCGTGCCATTTCACACCTGGTAGCACTTTGTAGTCCGTTCAGCGACCACAACCACCTCATCCGACATGAACATGTTGGATGGTGTGGATGATGAAGAGACCTTTCACGCCACGCGTGAAGGCTTTAACCATTTCAGTGACATCGAATGGAGGGAGGTAAAACGAATGATCTCTACCGTCGGAAAAACCGCCATTAGCGCCATGTTGGAGTCCCTTGACATGGACCAACAACATGACGCTACAGCCAGGTTCATTCAAAATGAACTTGTCGCCGAAAGCGATAAGGTAGCCTTGCTTCACCAGCAAGGCTCTCAACAGGCCGAGCAGTTGAGAGATATTGGTGATCAACAGACAGAGCTGTAGAGACAGCAGCAATTCCATGCTGCTGTTGTAAAGCGACTATGGAAATTCGCTGGAGAGGAATTGATCGCATTCTCGTTATATCCGAGTCAGTTAATGGTTGGCTGCACGGTCTCACATCTGGTCAGATCGCGTTCATTGGATAGTCAGACTAAAATGGATATCAGATCGGGCAGGTTGGGACCTGCGATCTTGGGTCAAGGTATGAGGCGGAATGTAACGTTGGCGATCAGTCGATCAAGAAGGGAACCGAGAACAGCAATGCAATCGCGATCAAGGAGGCGATCGAGATCGTGATTAGTGATCGATGTCGTAATCAGTGATCAGGTATGTGATCGAGATCGTGATAATTGATCAGTAGGTGATCGCGATCAAGTTGGTATGGAGCACACCATGTGATTCGCGATCAGCAAGGCGATCACGATCAGGAAGAGATCGAGATCGTAATCAGTGATCAGGTATATGATCGTGATCATTGATCAGGTATGTGATCGCTATCAAGGTGGTGTGGAGCACACCATGTGATTCGCGATCAGCAAGACAATCACGATCAGGAAGAGATCGAGATCGTAATCAGTGATCAGGTATATGATCGCGACCGTGATCATTGATCAGGTATGTGATCGCTATCAAGTTGGTATGGAGCACACCATGTGATTCGCGATCAGCAAGACAATCACGATTAGGAAGAGATCGAGATCGTAATCAGTGATCAGGTATATGATCGCGACCGTGATCATTGATCAGGTATGTGATCGCGATCAAGTTGGTATGGAGCACACCATGTGATTCGCGATCAACAAGGCGATTACGATCAGGAGGCGATCGGGATCGTGATCAGTGATCAGGTATGTGATCGCGATCCGACAAGTATATCAGGTGTGGGCCACGCAAGTACAAGATCGCTACCGTCTCGAGAGAGCGACATGTGGAAAACGATGTGTAAGACATGGGGATAAGGATAGGGTTGTTGGGTTTGATTGGTTTACATTAAACAGAGTTCGATTTGCTTCAAAGTACACGTGTCGACTTCTCCTCCGGGTGGATCGTTGGCCACCCGACGCCAAGGAAGGATTTACATAATTTAATCAAGTGATATCCCCGGATTGTTTGGCCAGGGATTAAAGATCTTTCAAACAACACTTAAACTGCGACTGGACGCAGAAAAAACCTATGTGGTTGAGGACCCAAGATCGCGAGACGGCTCAAGTGGTCAGAAGGCTCGCCAATCAAGGTCTACACTTGTACAAGGCGATCTGTTACAGATCAGATGGACTCATATCGAGCTCCCCACAAGCATACAAGTAATCGCGTGACGAATTCCACGCGATCACACCAACCCTGATCGTGGTGTAAAAATTTCCACACCGTGATCTAACCTCGACCCCATCGCAAACACGGTCAAGTTCTTCATTGACACGATTCCACCTGGAAGAGTGCAACCCGCCCCACCGACAGGTACACAAGGTGAGGAAGGCAATCAAGAACACGGAATCGTAGTACCCCCTCCGTTAGTCGGTCGTCCGGGCGCCAGTGGAGAGTTGGGATCGAATCTCTAAAAGAGAGATCGCCACTCCACCACACTGCTGTGGGCGGGACGACACACACGCGTCTTCCCAAAATCTTAAATATTGATATCTTAAGTACAGAGGAGTCGCGGAATACTCCATGTTATTATGATCCGTCGAACTAGACAGATCCATAAAGGCACGTCGGATCGACGATGATCAGATGAAACTCACATTTGCTCAGACCTACTTGGCAGGACGTGCCAAGGCTTGGGCCCTGGGGCTCGAGAGTAGCGACCCACATGTGTTTAGGCCGCTAGATGACTTCAAGTCCCGGCTCAGACAAACGTTTAAACCGCCTCGAGCTGAGTTCAGGGCTAATTCTGAGCTCCTGAAACTCAAGCAGGGTAAGTGTGATGTGCACGCTTACGCACAACATATACGACTCCTAGCGAGTAGTATAACTGCCAACCCAGTTCACGAACACACGTTGATTACGGTGTTCATGCAAGGGCTTGCGGAAGGGCCCGTCAGGAGCCACCTGTTCCGCCTTGAGCTGAATACGCTTGAAGAGGCGATATCAGCCGCGGAACAGGAAGACTTTAGCATGAGACAGGCTCATGCTAGCTCGAGCTCTAATCGTCTATCGAGGCGATAAGAGACTGGAGGTTCAGAACCCATGGACCTCTGTTATGTTGAGAGCG